ACTAGTTGGAGTTTAGTTCACTTCTATATCCTTCCCTTCAAAGCTCAGGGCTCCAGGATTATCTTCTGTATCTGTGTTAATTGGTTCCCCTTTTCTTTATTGAAGATGGTCTGTGAAGTCTGTCTGCCTATTCTGCTGTCTTACCGGAACCACTTACCTTATTTTTATGAGAAGTAGAAAAATGTGGGATGGTATGAAGAAGGGCAATATGGAGCCATCTATAATTATATGATCATTCTACATCCCTCACTTCATATTTTAGCCACACTTCTTGAGTCTTCTGTCTTTCTTGGGATGCCTTTTATATTGAAATAAAATTGAAGCTGGTCAGTCTATTTGTTAGCAAAAAACAAAGAAACAAACAATACAATCACTGCCATGGAGTTGGATCTGACTCATAGCAATCCCTCCTTGTGTTTCCAAGGTGGTATCACTATGGAAGTAGATTGCCAACCCTCCTTCCTGGGAGTGGCTGGTGGGTTTGAACCTCCAGCCTTCTGGTTAGCAGTCAAATGCCTTAAGCACTATGCCACCAGACCTGCGTATTTGTTAGCAGCTATTATATTTTAGTTTTTTTGGAAGGATTATTTTTTGTTTGATTGATTGTTTTTAAATATAATCATTGGTTGTAGGGGAGGCTATAACATAGATAATTGGACTTAAATGAGAATAGAATTAAAATATCCAACTTTTACTTTTGTAACATTGCCTTCAAAGTTTTAGCCAGTAGATAAAATAGCCTGCCCCTTTTTTAACCTTAGCTTCTGCTTTGGCTCCCAGAACTATGCATTCTCCTGGCCCTCTTCTGGCTTTCCTTCCTCTCTAATGGTCCTGACTCTAATGGTTCTGAATCTTCTCACCCTTTTCGTACCAGAAAAATGTAGACATTTCCTTGCAACAGCTTTTAGGCTGGTTTTCTCTTGATTATTTTCTTTCCTTGATAATTTCTCCCAATCTCCAGTTTACTTCAATCCCCATGTTTCTTGTTAGTTTTAACAAACCCACCATCTTCTTAGTAGCTTACATTTAAGCAAACTCAGCAGATATCCTTTGGACACTCACTGTGAGCTAAGCAATGTGTTAAGTACTGGGCCTACAATATTGAACCAATAGAGTAGGTCCCTGCCTTTATACAGCCTACAATCTATCATTCTAATATGTACCAAGTAAAGTCAACCTTGAACAAGGAATTCAAAGGGAAAACAACGTTTTAAACAGGGACAAGCAGAGTGTTTAGATTTACATTTTTAAAAGATAAATCTAACTGCAGTATAGAAAATGGCTTGGAGAGGGATGAAAATCAATGTAAGGAGACAGTTGAAGGTGATTATAGTAGCCCAGCTAAAGGAAGATATGATAGCCCTGCAATAAAATCTGAGTCATCCTTGACTCCTACCTTTTTCTCTTACCTATTCCTCTTATCCATCAAACACTAAATCTTAAGATTTGGTTTCTAAAATTTCCTTTACTGACATGCTTCTTTTATTCCTATTAACCTAATTCAAACTGCCTGTTTTTCTTTCCTGAACTATTGCAACAGCCTCCCCACTGATATATGAACTTCTAATCTCCCTTTATGGAGGCCTGGTGGTGCAGTGGTTAAGTGCTTGGCAGCTAAGGGAAAGGTGGAGGTTGAACTCACCAGCAGCTTTGGAGAGAAAAGACCTAGTGATCTACTCCCATAAAGATTTCAGCCTAGGAAGCATTATGAGGCAGTTCTACTCTGTCCTATAGGGTCACCATAGGGTCTGGTCTCTGTGAGTCAGAATCTACTCAACAGCATATGATAACATTCTCCCTTTTCTCCATTCCAGTATGTGAATGACTATGTTGTCTGAGTATTCTCCATTCCAATAGGGATATGGTGGTATATCTGAGTTATCCCCTTAAAACACACTTGGTTGCTCCCAAATACATCAAAATTAAGTCTACACTCCTCTTTCTAGTCATGCTTTTACAGTATAGTCCCACTGACCCTGCCATCACAAGCTTCCCCCAAGCTCTGTACTTCACTCACCCCTTATCTCCTCAACTCCCAAGTATCCAGATATGCTATTATATGCTATAAGCTTTATTCCTACCTCCATGACTAGTTCAGGCTCCTATCTATACCTAGGATATCTTTCTCTTTCAGCTTACCCATAGAATTTATATCTTGAAAGCCCCATATCAAGTTCCACTTTTTGTGATTCCAGATGCCCCCAACCAGAATTAATTTACCTTTCCTGCCCATGTTCCAATGATACTTCAGATGATGCATTAGCTATCTAAGTGGGACTTCTTACTCCTGTTTCAATATTTGTTAGAGATGCTCCCACTAGATTATAAATTCCTGCAGATTTTGGAAAATTTGTCAGTCATTTCTGTATTGCTTATAGTGATTTTTTTTGTACTGTGCTCAAAAAAGGGCTTAACAAACTCATATAGATCATGAGTGGTAGGGTGTGATTAAATCACCAGTCATGAATCTCTGGGTCACATACCCAAAGTCCATTCAGGTACTGTAGATTCATCAAAGGAACAAGAACATTTTACTAGTAGTATTGTTTTTGTTTCTAAACTGGCTAAATGGAACAAATCTCATTAAGAGCAACAGTTTACAGTATTATTGAGAAGTGCTGGATTCCATGTTGAAAGCTGAACTTCAATCAATAAGTGTTTTTTTGAGCCCAAATGATACATCAGAGCCCTGGTGGTGCAGTGGATAATTGCTCGACTGCTAACCTAAAGGTTGGTGGTTCAAACCCACCAACTGCTCCATGAGAGAAGGGTGTGGCAATCTGCTTCTGTAAAAATTAGTCTTGGAAACAATATGGGGCAGCTCTACTTTGTCCTACAGGGTCACTATGTACTGGAATTGACTTGAAGGCATTGGATTTGGAGTTTTAATTATATATCAAGCAGTACAGATGAATAAAATACATCCCTGTTCTGGCAGCACTCAGTGGTATCATAAGAGTTTTTTGAACTTTTCTCATCAGGAATTACAGGAGAACATACATTTATTAAAGTGGAAAAAATTGTTCACCCCTTTATTAAAATACCACATTTCACCTGGCTAACTCAGAATTGAAACCAGCAGTGTCTTAGCTACAACCCCAAGGAGAGCCAAACACAGTGTTTATCTTGTTACTATATAGTGCCTAAGGCACTTGACTGCTAACCAAGAGGCTGGTGGTTCAAACCCACCAGCTACTCCTCGGAAGGAAGGGTGGGCAATCCTACTTCTGTAGTGATAACTGCCTCGGAAACCCAAGGAGGGGTCGCTAGGAGTCGGGGCCAACTCGATGGCAAATAACAACAACATATAAAAAAGTATAAGAAACAAAACAGATTTATTAGAATATGGTAGATTGTAATTTTTTTATTACATGATATTTATTACCTTCTTACATACTCTTCATCTCAGACTTTCATATACCCTGCAACAGACAGGTTTTTATAACTTTCTTCTCAGTATCACTTAACACCTTATGGTGGGAAGCATCTCTAGAGGTGTTAAGCAATAATAACATTTATTGAATTCCAACATTGTTAAAGAGAGTAGAAACAGACAAAACCTAGTTTATAGTCTCAAGTAGCACATAGAAGTAGTACCTTATAAAATAATTTTGTTGCTGTAGAAATAAAAAAAAATAAAGTGGTGGTGGTGGGGTGCATATTACCAGAAGAAGAAGTTTTTGTATGAGATTCTGATTTTTTTTTAAAAGACTAGTTTGAAGCTGTACAATAGGGATAAATACCAAGATTTTCTAAAATATGAGAGCTACTTATAGAAAAAGGAAACAAATTCACAAATCATAGTAGATTAGCATAGGGGAAACATAAATGGTGTTTGATGGAAAACTAAAAGTTAAGAGGAAAATATACATCAGAAAGAGTAAATGGTATTGTTTTCGGATGTCTCTGTATGTGTGTATAATGATCTATGGCTTCAAATTTGACTAAATTTTATTTGTCTGTTTTTCAAAATCTTTTCTAAGAATTGCCCTGGTGGAAAATATTCCTGAAGGCCTTAACTATTCAGAAAATGCACCATTTCACTTAACACTTTTCCAAGGCTGGATGAATTTACTCAACATGGCCAAAAAATCTGTTGACATAGTGTCTTCCCATTGGGATCTCAACCACACTCATCCATCAGCATGTCAGGTAAGCTGCATCCTTTATATGTGCTGTGGTTTTACATATGTGGGTTTTCTGTCTTGAATATTCTTGTCTTCTACTCCTCAATCTCACTGTTTTTCTTCAATCTTCCCTCATCCCATAGTGCATATACATGATTATACTTAGGTCCATGTGCCTTTGTTAATCCATATGCTGCTCAGCACCTACCAGAATGTCAGGCTTTCGAGGACAAAATCTTGTTTCATTTTTCATAGAATTGGCTCACAGCACAGCCTTGCTGTGTTGCAGTCTCAGGGCACCATTCACACACCCCAAAGTTGTATTTTGCACAACCTGCATGGTTACAGTTCTAATTCTATAACTGCTTACTGAGGCATTTATTTGTTTAATTAGGGTTATAATTTGCCTTTAGGTTACAGAGCCAATTTTGTAAAAGAGTGGAGTCATACTTCCTAGTATAACTGTATATTCTTGTCTCTGTCATATTTAGATGAATAGAAAACAGAAATGTGCTAATTAAAGAAAACAATCTTTGGAAAACTGACTGATCTAAATGATTTCTGAAAGAAAGATTCTGAATATGAGAAAAACAATCCCAGTGATATTTTCTTCAGTGTGATTATTTTCTTTTTATTGGTGGCACCACTGTAGTTTGCACTCACTATCCAGGCCACTCTAGCCAAGCATATGACCATTGGCCTATATGCAAATGTCCTACTTAGGTCAAGGGTAAAAATCAATTCATCTTTTTGTATAGAAAATATGTTGGCATTGAGACTATAACCATTACATCATTGATGCTTTGAAATCTACTACTCAATTTTACTATTTTAAGATCAAAAGATATCAATTAGGTAAAAATAAATAAGCAAACAAAATAACAGCAAAGCATACTAAAGAAAAATTGAATAATTTTGTTAATTGTATTCTGTACTTCTCCACCCGTACTGATTGAAAAGATATTTCAGGGTATCTCTTGCCACATGATACATTATCCCAAAATGTAGTGTCTTTTTTTTTCTTTTTTTTAAATATATATATATATATATGGCAATTGTTTATACATTTATGATTCTGGGCAGGGTTTGGCAGAGATGACTTATCTATAATCCATAGTGTGGTATTGGTGAGAGTGACTTGGCAGAGGTGGCAAGATCCAAGATGGCTTCCCTCACGCATCCAGTATCTTAGGTGGGGTGGCTGGAATATCTGGGGGCTGGCTAGATCTCTTTCTCTCTGCATGTAGTTTCATCATTCAGTAGACTAGCCTGAGCTCTTCACATGCTGGTTGGATCTTAAAAGAACAAAAGCAGAACCTATGAGGCTTCTCTAAGTTTTGGATTGAAAATTCCAAAACGTTGTTTCTGCTTAATTGATCAAAGCAAGTCATAAGTTCAAGACAGGTAGAGTAATACTGTGTATAGAAATGAGAATTGTTAACAACCATCTTTGGAAATAATATACCACAGTCCACCCTCTAGACATAGTAATACTTGTGTCTTCTGAATGCAAAATATACTCATATCATCCCCCAAAGCTTTCGTCCCATTACAACAAAGGCTTACTGCCCAAACTTTTCTTCTCCATGAGGTCGGGATCTAGCTGAGGCTTCTCATGTGCAAATCTCTTCATTTGGAAACTTGTGAGCTCAAAAGACAAATTGTATGTGCCCCCCCAACACACATACACATACTCCCAACATACAATGGTGTGACAGGGATAGAATAACTTCTATAGACACATCTATTCAAAAAGGGAAAACATGGAGAACACACATCAGCTGTTGGTCCATATCAATTCTGAAATCCAGCCAGGCAAATGCACCAGTTTTTCTAACTCTAGCACCAAGGCATGTTTCTAGATGGAACTGAATTCTTCCCTCTATGAGTGTTTTCCTAATCCATTGTTCTCAGAAGCTCTTAGTTAGACCTCTGCATTGTTCTTCCTTAACCATATGAAATGGCCTGTATTTGGTTCTAATTTATTTCTGAGCCTGTTTCCTGCCATTGGAAATTTGAGACCCCACAGACCTCTCTTCCTTTCAAAACATCTCTGTTATTTTTTAGTCCAAATGGTAAAACTCCTTAAAAACTTTGTAGACCTTCTGTATATCAAATTATAATCCACTCTATTAGTAAAAAAGTTGCATCCACAAAAATCTTACTGACAAGTCCTTATCTATTTTGCACTGACACAGGTGCTGGAGGACACAACCCTTAAAATACTAGGATCCTTTTTATCTAGCTGAGATAGTCTAGAAGGCACTACTTTAAGTCTTTCAGACAACTTAACAAGGATCTTACAGCCACACTCTTGATTTGTTCTTTACCCTAAGGACATGTCACTTTGAGAATATTTTGATGAATGGAGAGACTATTCTAGACTCTATATCTCTAAATTCTTCACAGAAAGTAAATAATTCCTTACTTAGTTGATATTTTCTTTTTTTGTAATACTTTACCATATACCACTAAAACTTTGATATTCTGCTGAATCTACAAGGTCATTAATTATATTTTCTATCTTCCATGTAAAGGAGCTCTGGTGGCATAGTACCTAAGGCATTTGACTACTAACTACAAGGTTAGTAGTTCAAACCCACCAGCTGCTCCATGAAAAGAAGATGGGGCCATCTACTTCTGTAAAGATTTACTGCCTTGGAAACCCAATGGGGTCACTATGAGTAGGAATTAACTCCATGGCACTGGGTTTGATTTTCTTTTATCTACCACGTTACTTCAGGCAATAGTGTTGCCAAATATTCTGCTATTACATAATATGGATCTCCTTTTTAGCCGCTAATAGGAGACCTCTCCAGCCTCCACCACCACTGCATCCCCAAGGCAGTTCTACATACTTTAGGTTTTGGCTACAGCAGCATTCCACTTCCAAGAACCAGTTTCTATTTCATTTATCTGTTACAATATAATGACCCCAAAACTTATGTCTTTTTTCTTTTTTATGATTTTGTGGGTTGACTGTACAATTCTTTCACTCCTCATAACTGGCAAGATCACTCATACAGTTGCACTTAGCTGGGAGATGGGTTTGGGCTGGATTGTCTGAAGGCTGCTGAGTCTCTTTCTCCCTAGGTGGTCTGTCATTCAATAATCTAACCCAAACTTTTTGTATGGTGGCTAGATTGCAAATAAAGAGAGTGACAGCAACAAGACTTCTTAATACCTGGACTCCCAAAACATTACTACTGCCACATTCTGGTCAAAGCAAGTCACCAGCCCAGTCCAGATTCAAGAGGAAGGGCAGTAGAGTCCAGGAGTATCAGGCACATATAAGAATGGGAAGAATTGCTGGCAGACGACTTTGGAAATGATCTATTATAGCATCTGATGGTGTAGACAAGAGATAGTTCAAGTTGTCCTTCCTTATTCCTAGATAAGGCTAGCATATGGCCACTGAGTTGAACATGACCTATGAGTTTTACTGGGAGCTCTGGTAGTGTAGTGCCTAAGGCATTTGACTGCTAACCAGAAGGCAGGTGGTTCAAACCCACCAGCCACTCCTCAGAAGGAAGATTGGGCAATCAACTTCCACAGATATGCCGGCTCAGAAACCCAAGGAGGGGTGGCTATGAGATGGGATCTACTCGACAGCAGCTGAGTTTGGTTTTTTGGTTTTTATGAGCTTTACTTTGACTTGGTGATTCACACAGTGTACTTGGGACTAAACCAGCACAAGCATCCATATTGTATGGGTAGGAACTGTCAGCATCTCCAGTGATGTGTATCACTACAGAGCTGCAAGTGCTAATCACACAGTGGGAATGTTTGCATTTACACTTAGATTTCATGACCTGATGCCACTAAAGAGGCATCATAATATCTTCTCTGATATGCTGTCTGTTAGGAATGCTGTATTTTTCTGTCCAACTACAAATTCATCTTTGCTAAGTGGCTCTATTTTTACATCTATTATTTCTCTCTGATCCTTACCTATTTAATATTCTTTTTCCTTTCAATATTATTTTAATCAGTCTAGATTCATGGTTCATTTGGAGGTACCTGGTGAGTCCATTTGCAGGATTCAAGGAGTCTCTGGAAGCACTCAGTAATTTTAGCCTGCTCTGTGATGGGTGTGATATTGTTCAAACCAATAGCATACAGGCACTCAGATGACATTATAGGGAAATTAGAGTTCCTGAATGGGTGACTTAGTATCCTTCTTTAAGATAGACATGATTCTTTAGTCTAAGGTTGTTTGGCCTTTCCTTGCTTTAAACCTGAGCTTTCTTCCTAGTCCTTCAGGTGTTTGCTAAACCCTTGCTACTGTGGCCCCAGGACCAGCAGCATCTTTATTATCTGGGAACTTTTAGAAACACAGACTCTCAGGCCCCCATGCACTCTACTTGAATCAGAATCTCAATTTTAACATGATCCCCAGGTGATTCATAGACACAAAAAAGTTTGAGAAGAACTGAATTAAACCATCTGACCTCACCTATGAGTTTAGCAAAGTATCCTAGGTGTTCAGACTGTCTGGTAGTGTGATGATTAAGATTGTGTGTCAGCTTGGCTGGGCCATGATTCTCAGTGATTTAGCAGTTATAATGTAGTCATCCCCCATGATGAGGTCAGATTTAATGTAATTAAAACATTATGAGATCAGCTGTAAGCAGCCAGTTAGTTTAAAGGGAGTTTCCTTGGGGGTGTGGCCTGTATCTAATTTATATGGACCTCTGGCAAAGCACACTCTTTTTTGTTTGTTCTGGATCCTGCATCTGGCTCCTCATCATCTGACCTCCAGTTCTTTGGACTTGAGCCAGTGGCCTGCCATACTGTCTTCTCATCTTGGGATTTATCAGCCAACACAGCCCATGAGCCAGCAGTTTGCCATCTGACCTCCCAATCTTGGGTTCATCAGCTTCTGCAGCTACATGAATAAGGAGGAACTTTCAACCTGACATCTGTCCAGCCCCATAGACTTGAGACTGGAGATAAATTTCTTTCTCTCTTTATTTCTCCCTCTCTCCATCTATATATATATACATACATATATAAATGCATATA